ACGACTGGAAAGGAGATTAATCTACAATCTGGAGACCCTACAACTATCTGGTTTAAATGAACGCTTTTCTTTCCTATATATTATCTTTTTTTTTTTCAATTTTGATTTTAACCTGTTTCATCTTTGCTTGATTTAATACTTGTGTACAAGATGTAATTTTGCTAAGAAATTTCATGCTCACTCAACGTTCAAAATACTACGCACACATTTTTTTTTAATTTTGCGCATGCGCCTTTATTGTAAGGTGTATGATCTGACGAAGAACGCTAGCCTGAAACGTCATCCTCTTGAAAAAAATTGGCGATTGTTTAACCTATTCTTTAATTTCAGTTACCTTTGTTGCCTATGCGGTTAACTATCTCTAACGTAAAATCAAGTCATCTTGCACAAAGTAATCGAGAAAGCTAACATACTGATTCACCCCCTGTCTTCTTGAATGTTCTTTAACTAACTGTAATCTTCAACAATATCTCTTATTTATAATCTCCGTTCGACTATACTAGAACAAAATATGACGTGAAATTAATATTTTTAGTAATACGTCTCTAGCAAACAAGCAGTTTAACATCAAAATATAGCTTACAATATTGCCTCCTTCCTAGATCCCAATACAAAAAACAACAAACTATACTAAATTGTTTATTCATCAAGTCTTTTTTTGGCGGGTTTCTCCTCTAAGGCCCAAGGTATACGGATCTGATGACAATTGTTTCTTGTTGTCACTAGGAGAGTACTTTCTGGGTAGGCGAATCCAGTGGTAGCTTCTACTTTTACGACCCTCTAGAAGTAGTCTCGACAATAATTCCTGGATTCTCAGCAGGTTGAGTTTCCGTTGGCAAGTTATTTTCTGGAGTTATCAAGTTGACTGATCTAATCAAAGTACTTAATTTGATTTCCACCAAATGCGAGTAATTTTGGATTTAAAATGATAAAAAAGTTTAAAACTCGAGGGAAAACAGTACTGTGATGCAATTGGTAAAATTGGCTTATAATTATTTGTAACTTATACAGGATATTTTTGTACATTCGACAATTTGTTAAATTAATAGAAATGTTTCACTTTGATTTCATTCAAATATTCATGAAATATTTTAAAAATAACAGGCATTCCAACAACTTGTCGCCAAGCAACTACGCTAACATTTAATACCAATGCAGCGTTGCTAAAAATACGTTAGAAATGTTTAAAAATACCATACTTGAAAGACTGTACTGTTTTGACTTTTGGTTATTAGAGTGAGGAGGAGGCAACTCTCAGTGTGAAAAAGTCAGGAAAATTTGATACTCATACACCATCTAATTAATGACAAGAGAACTGTATGCTCTTTTTCTGCAAATACACGAGTTTTTACACATATGACAACATGATGGAAAACAAGTTAGCTTCAAAGTAATATATGAAAGGTTTATATGAACATAATCAGCATATTTTTTTATAAATAAAATATCTTTTGAAAAGTGATTTAATCGCTGCTGATTTGACTCAACACTGTACTATTAATTGTTTTCTACAGCTGGTCTTTATTTTTTGGGCATGTCATGGAATATACTTGTGTAAAAGTAACTGGCGCCATTTTTACAGACGGAGATCCTTCGTAATTATGTTGCCTGATGCACGTGAACATCTTTTGCTACAGATATTATTTTTGTGAATTCTCACCTGTAATACAACGCTGCACTTTGCTTACCACGGCTGGAATACGACTTATTGCAAGTCTCTTTCTGAATGATCCTAGGAACCTAAGTTAATCCATATTCATTTGTTTTACAGTTTCCGTAAGAAGTATAGTATTATTTTAACTGGACATCGTTCTGTGTCAGACCAATACAACAATCAATAATTTTGATTGCACTTAACAAATACAAAACTAAGTTTTGTGAATAAATAATCTTATCGTGTCTAATACTTAAAGAACAATCCGTTAATACGTGTGATATTGAAACCGATATCGATCTTAACTACAACATTCTTTAGAGACTGCGTACATGATCACAGTTAGAAGAACACAGTTATATGATGCTACGTTTCAATATCACAGCTCATGCAATCATATAGGTTAAAACACAAAGTCTTATGTTAGCCTTACAAGACAAACCTAAAGATGCATGGCAGTTAAGCTGACTGGTAGAATGTTGCTGCTGCCATGTGTGAATGAAGACTTCAACAAAGTGATTTCATAATAACCAAGGTTAATGTAGTTTATACTATGGTAAAATAAGATAATAAAGTCAGAATTATCCTACACTTATTGAAGGTACATTTTAAATAACATTGACCAAAAATAAAATGTGTTAAAAGATATTCCAATGGATCTTGTAGGTTTCAGGTATCACTTTTTGAGTAAAACAGATCACAATCCAATTTTAAGTTAAGGCATATTTCAGCACAAAAACTATATTTAACTTTAGTATGAATATCCAATAAAAATGAGATACTTGTTTAAACTTAAAATATAGTTTAAGAGAAAAAACAATTAAATTTTACAATTAACAGCATCTTTACGAGGTAAGCGACCACATAAATTTTTTGAATGTTGTTAAAATATTCTTACAACAGGAGTGTAGTCCCCAGTTGCTGAAGTGACATATCACTTGCTAAACGTTTTTCATTTACAAACCAAAGTATTTTAGTATCTTTAACTTTATTTACTTCTTGTGGCCAATTTTTTTAACATACTAAATCATGCTTATCAGTAGACTTAATTCAAAATATTTTCTTGTCAAAAGGATATTCATATGAGATGCACAGTGTTCATTATGTTAGAGATTTTGAGAATGTTTAAAAGGTACTCTATCACTGTTTACTTGTGCATTATTAGGAAAAACAAAACAAAAAAGCTATTCTGAAGGTTATGTGCAGTATAAGTACTATAAATTTTAAAGTCCAGTTTTATATTCTCATTTTTTATCATGAGAAAACCATTTCAAAGTTCTTGTTACATACTGTGAATAGTTTAGGTCAGATAATCTCATTTTCCCTCCAATAAAGAAATTGCATAGTTAATTAAAAAAATTACTGGATATCCATATATATATATATATATGTGTGTGTAAAACATTTTTAAGTGCTTTTTAAGCAAAATTTAACAATACCTTTTCCTAGCTTCATCTTTTCATTTTTACTGCACTCTAACAAAAGGGGCAAGAATGTTGCCTTATTTTAGAATAAACAATGTACTCAAAAATATGTGAAGAGATGGCAGGAAGTTTTTAATTACATTGTAGCATTTGTAATAAATTAACTTTAGTTCTTATAACACTAAAAGTTAACTTTAAACGATCCCTTCTGAAAACACTTTCAAAAGTTTAAGGAAGTATCATGGGATAAATACCCTTGGGTAAACAAGGATATCAGAAGAACCGAAGCACATTTTCCACAGAAATACAGAAGCATATTTTTATATTTTCCTCTACTTTTATGGAAAGTACAGCATATCCACATATATTATGATTACTAACCAAAACAGTAAGGCTTTATGACAGCTATTGTCTGTCTTAATAATTAATCAAAAATAACTTGGCACAGTTAAGGTACAACTGGCTTATAAAATACTTTATAAACATTATATAAGAAATAATTCCTGTGTGTGTGTGTGTGATCATTGGTTAGAGAGATATTTATGTAATACTTTAACAATATTTGTATGTCTTACAATTTGCAATAGCTAAACTTATTTAACTCTTAATTTAACAATACAGGTTTCATGTATTATAAGTATCTCATTATCAACAATATTAAAGAGTTTGTGGAAAGATTTTGTTAAAACATTTTTTCAAAAACAAGGTTTAGATACTTTATGAGTTATGGGAATAACTCTGAAGTAGCACGATAATTTGAAGTTTCAAGGACAGTTGTGGTACAGAGACAAAAAAAACCTTTGTAGTTATGGTTTTATAATTCACCTGAAGCTACTGTCAATTCACACCTGAAATAAGTCTGTTCTTATTTTCATTCTTATGAATGGCTATTTGTAAGGTAGACTTGTGTCAAGCAAAGGAAAACTTTAGGAATACATAAGATCCAAACAACATTTGTATTAGACAAAAAAATGTTTTGACTAAATACAAACTAGATTTAGTACTTCACATTTACTAGCAACCACAGCAAGCTGTTAATTAGTTACTACATCTAAAGGAAGAGTATGTTACACAATAAACTCAACTTCACTGTAGAAAAGTTTTTGTGGTGTCATCCATTTTCAACCAAAGGTTGTATTACTTTTACTGAAATAGTGACTCTTAAAAAAAATAAGTACAATTTGGTGCAATTCCTAGAGAGTTGGAATTTCATTTTATTCATAATAATAAAGTAATAGTACTTGTGTAAATATATTACCCATTAACTTCTAATAAAAATAAAAGCCCAACAAATTAGTTTTGAAACTGATGCAGCACATAGAAAGTACATTATTATAAATATAGCTGCAACCCATTTATTTGAAAGAAATAAGTATTGATTATTCAGTAAAATAAATATTATCACAGCAAATCAGGCTTCTGCTCTTTTATAAAACTAATTTTCATTGTAAATATTTATATATATATGTTAATAAACACTTCTCAATTCTCACAGTTAAGTACATAAATACATATTATATCTGTTACTTTTTTAAAAGAACTTATTTTACTCCAAATTCTTCCAAACTTTTGTTAAACTAATGTGTTATGGTATTTACTACCACATAAGCAGTTTTTATAAGAACAATTTCTTACGTAATGAACTGTGTGTGGTTAATTACGTCTTATTATTTAATGGCTATGCTAAAGCAGAGGCACGGTATCACAAATATTAAACTTAACTACCAGCTCACATCATTTTACAATTCTGACACATCAAGTTGACCTGCTCCATGTTCAGCTTTTTCCTTTTTCTCTACTGAAGATGACTGTTTATCTTCTAAGAATACCTGTACATCTTTTGACCCCAAAATATCCTGTTTATCCCACGATCCAACAAAATCCAGAGCTTCTTCATGCTTTTGTGATTCTTTATGCACTGATTCTGCATCACTTGCTTCTTTTGTTATGTCTTTATCTTCTTGTTGATGTATGTCCTTAACTACGATCATTTCTTCATGATCTGAATTACCTGTGGTAAACTTTTCCAATTTTATTTCTCCAGATGAATCAAGTAAAGTAGCCTGTTGATCAGTTGATGATATGTTCCTTACAGTTTCATTAGTTGATTTCTGACAAGCATAAGGGGTTGTTACTTTATCAAGTGTTGTGTTTGTCAAAGAATCAATCATTACATAACTTGAAGCTGTATTTTTTATGGGCCCCAGGAACTGTCCTTCTGGTTCCTGTAATTGATTTAGAAGTTATGAGAAATATTATAATCCAGCATAACAAATAGGGATTAATCTTGAAATTTACAAAAAGAAGAAAGTGACGTGTGCTTAATGAAATTTTTGCTTTTTCTATAAAACTTTGGAATGTGATAAGAATGAAGAACAGTGATGTAAGATTACAATTTTTTTTTACTGAATATATTGGAAGTGCATTACAAATAAGAATATTTAAATTTTTCCAAACTAACAGATTTTTCAATGTCTAACCAAAAACCCCTTAATTTCTTAGTGTTGGTGAAATTTGTATTATTACAAGAATATTGATTAAAAATTAAATCTAGATATTCCAATTATAAAACAATGTGTATTCTACAGCTTCCAAAGTAAAGCCAGTTCACTTCTAAGTCTTTGCTGTTTGTATATGTATTTACAGCTTTTAAACTATAGCAGGTTTACATATGCCACACTGTCTTCAAAGTCTTTGTGGTTGGTATGTGTATTTATAGCTTTGAAATTAAAGCAGGTTTACATATGCCACACTGTCTTCAAAGTCTTTGTGGTTGGTATGTGTATTTATAGCTTTGAAATTAAAGCAGGTTTACATATGCCACACTGTCTTCAAAGTCTTTGTGGTTGGTATGTGTATTTATAGCTTTGAAA